CTTCTCTGCTGGGCTGGCGTATAGTGAGTGTTACCTGCTGGCTGCCATGGCTTATGACCGCTACGTGGCCATCTGCAACCCCCTGCTTTATTCCCAGGTGATGTCCTCAAGGCTATGTGCCAATCTTGTAGCAGCTTCATACCTTGGTGGCTTTCTTAACTCTACCTTCATTACCAGCAAGACATTTACCCTGAGCTTCTGTGGGAATAATATCATTGACGATTTCTTCTGTGATCTGCCCCCTCTTGTAAAGTTGGCCTGTGATGTGAAGGAGAGCTACCAGGCCGTGCTCTATTTCATACTTGCCTCCAACGTCATTACTCCCACCATTCTTATTCTTGCCTCCTACCTCTTCATCGTTGCTGCCATCTTGAGGATTCGCAGCACCCAAGGTCGCCTCAAGGCCTTCTCCACTTGTGCCTCTCACCTGACAGCTGTCACCTTGTACTATGGTTCAATTCTCTTCATTTACTCCCGACCAAGTACTAGCTACACCCTGGAAAGGGATAAAGTGGTGTCTGTGTTCTATACTGTGGTGATTCCAATGTTGAATCCTTTGATCTATAGCTTAAGAAATAAAGATATTAAAGATGCCCTGAGGAAAATGGTAGATAGGGCAAAGTGTTCATAAATGAAAACACTTGGTAAACAGTGGCTGTATTTTATTTTACAGATTATCTACATGTCATTGTTAGCAGCTATACTCTTAAAGATAAAACAAACAAAGAAATAAACAAATAAAATCGTTGAATAAGGTGGAAATACCAATCTGCTTTTGTCTTTTGAAAGTGTTTTTAAAATAATGTATTTGCATGTGTTTTTAAAATAAATGAGGCTGGGCCAGCCGAGTGGCACGTTGGTTAGGAGTTGGCTTGGGATGCCAGCTCTGAGCAGCAGGGCCCTGGCTCAGATCCCACATGAGGGTCAGTGATGCTGCGCCCTCTACAGCTAAGATGGTGAACAACAGCTCGACCTGGAGCTGGGCTGCCATGAGTCACTGACGACAGCGTAGGCTGCAGTGGGCTGCCCTGAGCTGCTGTGAGCAGCCATCCAATGGCCGGGGAGTGACTGCCTCACCTGGGAAGAGTGCAATAATACCAACATGGGCCAGTGAAGCAACATCCTCCACAACTAGGCTGAAGAACAAAAGGACAGCAACTTGTCTGTTCACCTTCCCTCACTCCCCAGCACCGTTCCCCTCCTCCAATTCCCCAATAAAAAAATCTTATTAAAAAAATAAAAAAATAAATGAGGTTGACACATTTGGAACAATCTGCTATGCCTGCTAGCTTAGAACAGAATCCATAAAATTATTGTGATTCTGTGAAGGTTGAAAGAGAGCAGCTTTTTTTTTTTTGCTGAACCATCCTGCCACCTGTTGGCAGCTCAGCGGCAACTCGACTTGGGCTGTGAATTGAACCAGTGACCCTGTTGCTCAGAGCTCATACTCTTGAGTGAGCTCTTAACCAACTGCGCCACTNATTTTTATTTTATTTATTTTTAATTAAAATTTATTGGGGTGACAATGGTTGGTAAAATTACATAGGTTTCAAGTGTACAATTCTGTAATACATCATCTATATATCACATTGTGTGCTCACCACCCAGAGTCAGTTCTCCTTCCATCACCATATACTTGATCCCTTTTACCTTCATCTACCACCCCTCCTCTTCCCCTTGACCCCCTGGTAACCACTAAACTATTGTCTGTGTCTGAGTTTTTGTTTCTTTATTTGTTTGTCTTGTTCCTTTGTTGCTTTCAGTTTTATATCCCACATACCAGTGAAATCATATGGTTCTCGACTTTTTCTGTCTGACTAATTTCACTTAGCATAATAATCTCAAGATCCATTCATGTTGTCACAAATGGCACTATTTCATATTTTCTTATGGCAGAGTAGTATTCCATTGTGTATATATACCACATCTTCTTTATCCAATCATCTATCGAAGGAAATTTAGGTTGTTTCCATGTCTTGGCCACCGTGAATAAAGCTGCAATGAACATCGGAGCACATATATCTTTACGGATAAATGTTTTCAGATTTTTGGGGTATATCCTCAGGAGAGAGATTGCTGGGTCATATGGTAATTCTACTCTTAATTTTTTGAGGAACCTCCACACTGCCTTCCATAGCGGCTGCACCAATCTGCATTCCCACCAACAGTGTATGAGGGTTCCTAAAAAAAGGATTTTTTAAAGCTCTTTTTTAAAAAAGATTTTTATTAAAATATATCTTACATACAATATTATATTAGATTCAGGTATACATTACAGTTATTCAACAGTACTCATCTGGCACTATACAGTGCTTTTACCACATTATTGATTATATTAATATTCCCTATGCTAAAGAAGTGATCACCATGATAAGTCCAGCAACCATCTGACACTGTACCATGCTATCACAATATTATTGACTGTATCTCTATGCTGTATATTACATCCCCAAGACTTATTTGTTTTATATCTGGAACTTTGAACCTCTTATTCTTCTTTATCTCCCCCCCACCTTTAAAATTTTTCAATTAGAGTTGACATTCAATATTAATTTATATTAGTTTCAGGTGTACAGCATAGTGGTTAGACATTTATATAATTGAGGAAGTGATCCCTCTGGCACCAGACATAGGTATTACCATATTATTGACTATGTTCCCTATACTTAAAGCTCTTTTTAATAAGTGAAGATATTCAGGTTGTTGTCAGAGGGTTATACCATTGCCTTAGCTAGGAGAACATGAGAGAAAGAATTCACCTATAAAAGACAAAAATGGTTGAACAGTTGAGAGAATATACTCTGGAAAAGAAAATTCTGGGTTCATGTATCAGTGCTGCTATTTACCAGTTCTGTAATCTTGGAATTGTTTCTTAAACTCTATGAGGATCATAATAGTACCTACCTTATAAAGTTGTGGAAAGGATTAAGTGGGTTTAGATTAGGATTTAGAATACTAAATGGCACATAATGAGTAATTTTATATGTATATAAAATGTATATATGTAATATATATATATATATATAATTTCTGTTTGTACTAATAGTAGAAGAGTCATACAGTGCATTCGTATGTGTGTAACTCTGCTGACACATAAATTCTCAATAACATGAAGGATACTGAAATTTTTTTTGAGTGCTCACTGTACCTGACATTGGGCCAGGTGTTTTCATGTGTATCTTCTTTATTCAGACCACCTGTCAGGGCGGGGGTGTGTGTGAAGGGGCTTCATTTTTCTTGTCTGTTTGGTGAGACTGTGGGAATTGTCTTGCATCAAACAATAAGTGAAAGCCCTAATTCCAACATCAGATTCTAACACCAATTCCTGTGGTCTTCCCAAGTCACAGACTGAAGCTCATCATTCTAGAGAGTCACAGATAAAAAGCTGCTAGTAATTGTTGACTGGATACCTTCATTTGTTTCAATAGAAAAATCACTGCATGACATTTTTCCTCAAAATCTTTATCAGGCTTTCTTCTCTGTGAACATGAAAGTGGGAAATCGTACCATCCTGACTGAATTCATCTTGGTGGGNAAGGTTGCCAGTTTGACTCGCACATGGGATGGTGGACTGTGACCCCCGCCTCCCCTCCTCCCCCCTAGCAAATAGATTGAAAACAGCGACTGGACCTAGAGCTGGGTTTGCGCCCTCCACAACTAAGATGGAAGGACAACAACTTGACTTGGAGCTGATGGGTCCTGGAAAAATACAATGTTCCAATTCCCCAACACTGTTCCCTTCCCAAATTTCCTAATAAAATCTTTTTTTTTTAAAAATTGCATGTTTCATTTGATTCCTAATACAGTAAATGTTGATAGATATAAACCACATAAAAGCTTTTTAGGGTCCTCAATACTTTTTTTTTTTAATTGGGGAATTGGGGGGATGGGAACAGTGCTGGGGAATTGGGGGAAGGAGAACAGACAAGTTGCTGTCCTTTTGTTCTTCAGCTCGGGCTGGGAATTGAACCGCTGTTGCTCAGAGCTCAAACTCTTCAGCGAGCTCTTAACCAACTGAGCCACTTGGCCGGCCCTTCCTCAATACTTTTTAAGCGTATAAAGAGTTGCTGAGATCAAAAGATTTCAGAAACTCACTTTAGTTGATGGTTGAGTAGTTTGCACATAATTGATCACACCAGCATTCCTATCTCTCTAACATTTTTGACTCCTTTCTTTACAGTATTTAAAGTTTGTTCTTATATTTCAGTTAGAATGAGGCCTCTGTTGATGTTATTTCTTGGTTCATCCACTTTATTCAACTCACTAGCCATTCTTGGCAACCTCTACAGACTCTGCTTATGAAAATGAGCATAGTCCTACCACTTCTCAGGTGTACATATGTGTCCTCCCAGAATGGTCCTTGCAGTCCCCATCTGGATTATGCTGGTTGGAGCTCTCTCTTGGACTTGGAAGCAAAGAGATATTATATATTGAAGACAGAAAATGAGAAGATACTGACATTTCTGAACTTTCTTCACTTCCTGAAATTCATGATGCTTTTTCTTAACTTGGACCTCTGCACTTCCTGTAACTTGCAAGATTATTCTTTCTACCCTCCCAGCAGACTGCCACTCCCACTTTCATCACTCCCTTTCACTAGTGAATTCCTACTATTATCATTCACAGGTCAAATATAGACTCCTCAGATCAATCCTCCCTAAGGTCCCGCACTATGTCAGGTCTTGTATACAATCATGTGACACCATATTATTATGACTCCACACACTAGTCATAATTTACAAGAATAAGTTTATATTATTATTATTTCTTTTTTAAAAAAGATTTTTATTGGGGAATTGGGGGAGGGGAACAGTGCTGGGAAATTGGGGGAAGGGTAACAGACAAGTTGCTGTCGTTTTGTTCTTCAGTCTAGTTGTGGAGGACGTTGCTTCACTGGCCCAAGTTGGCACCATCAT